CCCGCCCAGGAACTGGAGGCACCGAGCCCCGCCCACCGGGCTGGGGGCGGGGCCTGGGCCGTGAGGCACCCATTGTAATGGGAAAAGTGGGCAACCGTCTTAACTCTGCAGGAGCTTCCTGGTTGCCTGGAGCAGATATGAAATATGCACATAAGACAAGTAGACGGTCCAGCCGCTGTGGCTCCGGAAGCGACGATTGGATTCCATGGTCAAGGCACATGCCCGGGTTGCAGGCTCAATCCCCAGTGGGGGACGTTCAGGATGCAGATGGTCAATGATTGTCTCTCATCATTGATGTTTCTCTCTCTCTCCCCCTCTCCCTTCCTCTCTAAAATCAATAAAATGTATATTTTTCAAAAGACAAGTAGACATGCAATTACAAACAGTGTTAAGTATGGGCCAGGTGCTGTTCTAAGCACTTAATCCTCTCAAAACCCTTATCCCCATTTTGTTACACTTCACAAATGAAAAACGCAGGTATAGCCAGGGTTACATATCCATCACCTCACATCGTTGCAATTTTTTGTGTGTTCAGTGAGAACTCCCAAAATCTACTCTCTAGTAACCTTTCAGAAAATTTACCATCCATTCAGCTATTCAGAAAGTTGTTAGAGCTTGAACTCTCATTTCAGGGAAAAATGTCAAAAGCCAGATGTGAAGTAAAATAATTAGAGATAACCAAAGTATCAATTTCAATTTATAAATTAGCCTGGTGAAATAAATTATTAAAATAATAGCATAGTAATTATAAATACTGAGACTTATCAAGTGCTCAATAATATTGAAAAAGTTTTATTTGCATAGTACATTTTTTTTCAGACAACAACACCAGAGGCAGGAATACAATATTCCTCTCAAAGGTGAACCAAACTATGACAAAGAGTGTCCAGGTAATTTGCTCAAGATCATTACCTCTAAAAAGAAGAGAAGTTATTTGATAAGAAGAGACTTCAGAGCCCACAATCATGGTTTTGTTGGTTTCCATGGTTAAAAATTTCCAAACATATACAAAGGAAAAGAGAATAGTAATCCCTCATATATTTCATACCTAACCTCATCAATTATTAATATATACCCCATTTGACTTATTCAAAGCACTCAATTCCAAGACCCCAAATGAATAATCATTTTAGCATGTCTCTCAATACAACCAGAACTCTTTATTTCATCTCTCTCTTTAGGTTTCATTAAATCATCAACAGTTTCCCCTTTGTGTTTTATTTTTGTTTTTCATTTTTAATAAAATACTTATTTTCCTAAATCATTTTCAACATTCTGGAATATTTCATTACAATTGTATAGTCAATGAACTTGTTCTGCTGGCTTGCATTTTCTTTTCTTTTTTTATTTTGGAATTTTTAATAATGAAAGTAAAGTACATTTTCCTCTGAGTATAGCTTGAACTCTAGTCCATAAATTTTTGGAAGCTTATTGCTGTTTAATTTGAGCTTCTAGTTTTTTTATTGCTAAAAGTATTACAAAGGGTATTACATATGTGTCTTTTTTTTTCCCCCACCCTTAACAATCCCCTGGCCGCCCCTACCCCCCAGTGTCTTATGTCCATTGGTTATGCTTATTGGCTTGCATTTTCTATAAAGTAAAAGTTCAATTGAATTCTAGTTATTTTTTTAATAACATACCTTTGGAATGTCAAAGGTATGTTATAAATAACATCACTTTTTTCGGACGCCTTTGGGCACAACCATCAGACCAGGGAGGAGACCACAAATCCCCTCATTGTTAATTGGGTTAATTGTTGACTGTTCACTATCCTGCACCCACCTGTGTAAAAGAAGTATGGGTCTACCATTTCACTTTTTATCCAATCCCAGTAATGCTCCCCTCCCCCCACCTGCTTTTCTTTTTTCCCTACTCCCTAATCTACCACCAATGGATTTCAGGTAACCCACTTACACCCCCTCTTTTGATTATAATGCATAAAATAAGGTGCAAAACTGCCATTTCTCAGAGCACTCTCTCAATCTGTTGAGATTTTGCTTCCTGACAATTGTGGTCAGTTTGTCTCAAATAAACTCACAAAAATTCTCTACAGGTTTGTATGTTTCTTACATTTGACACTACACACTCACAATAGGAAATGTCTGTGGATTTTTAAAATTGCAAAATACATTCCAAGTAAATCCCTTTAATGGATGCTCACTAGCTCTCAGACATCACTCTGCCTTGGTTAAATAAAATCGACCCACAGGGACAATGGGAAGAACTTTGTTAGGCAAACATCCAGCTTCCACATCTGTCCGGAAACGTCATTTTTTTGTTGTGTTATTCTGATAAAGAACGCAGGCCTTTAAAAAGATGAGCACCCCTGAGCTCGTTTTCTGAGACACCCTCTTTATTTCTCCCAATCCATTTTAAGACTGGAAGCTCCAAAAGGGCTGGACAAGTATCACGTTCACTGAAATGGCCCCAGCATCACCACAGGGCACGTTTGTGGACTCCGTCTGGGGTTGAGGTCCTGGGCTAGGTTGAGGGCCAGCGGCCAAAGTGCGCTGGCGCTGGCCCACTGGAGAGGGAGGGCAGGAAACGAGGCCATGGCTGGCTCAGCCGAGAGGTGCCGCACTCAGGATAACCTCCCCGCAAAAGGAGGAAACGCAAGCCACAGGCTTAGGGCAGGAAACAGACTTTTCTTCCCAAGGTGCAGCCGGCATCTCCCAGAACAAAAACATATTGAGGCGTCGCGAGGGTCTCACCTGGGCTCGGGCGGGAAGGACCTGGCCCGCGCAGCCGCAGTGTGAAGGGCTCGGCCCGCCCATGACGTCACACATATCCCCGCCCCTTTCAGGGCGGGGCGGGAGCGCGCGAGGCTTTGTCACGCAGGCGCGATTGCGTGGCGGAGGTGGAGCTGGAGGCCGCCTGGGGATTTTAGGAAGACGGAGCTGCCGCCATTTTGCAAGGTTTTTGTCGCAGAGGCTGGAGAGTTAAGACGGTGGGTTGGCTTCATTGCTCGGCAAAGGGCCTTTTGCTTTAGCAGAGGTAAAGTTTCGGGTGGGGTGTGCTGGGCTGAGTGGCATCCCATTCTTTTTAGGGGTCGAAGTCAGGTGTCGGAGAAACGACCGGGTTGGGGCCTCGGCGCCTGGGGTTCCTTCGGACACAACTCGGCCGGTCGGCTTTAAAATCGAAGGGTGCGCCCTGGCCGGTTTAGCTCAGTGGGTAAATGTCGGCCTGTGAACTGAAGGGTCCCAGGTTCGATTCCGGTCAAGGGCACATGCCCAGGTTGTGGGCTAGATCGCCAGTGGGGGACTTGCAGGAGGCAGCCAATCCGTGATTCTCTCTCCTCGTGGATGTTTTTATCTCTCCCTTTTCCTTCCTCTCTAAAATCAATAAAAATATATTTTTTTAAAAATTAAAATCGAAGGGTGCGTAGGTGTTATGGTAGATTTAATGTCCTGGGCGGATAGACCGCGGTTCTGCCACTGACTCCTCCCTGGCTGCTCGCCTCGCGGCCCCGGAGGCTCGGCTCCGCGGAGGAGGCGGAAGGCAGGTCGGGAGACCCTGGGGAAGCCGCCTTTAGGGTTTGTGTTGTCGGAGCTCAAGCCCTTCGGGACCTGGGTTTTCCAGGGTGAAACATTAGTTCCTGTCTGTTACGGTGCCAAAGGCTGGCCGTGGGGGCCGGGCGACCGAGGAACTGCGAGTGCACGTCCCGGTGTGTGTTTGTTTAGCTTAGCTGGTGCTTGTGAGGGTAGAAATGGGCAGAGGTTTGTCCTTCGTGCGGCACCGTTTTTCGGTGGAGCATACCATTGTTGCAGCAGATCTGCATTCCTGACACTTGGCGTTTTACTTGAACAATATCTTGTGATCCTAGCACTTAGGATTCTTTATTAATTAGAGGTCGTTTAATAATTCTAGGTAATCTTTCTCTTCTTGTGTATACTCAGGAGGAGCCTTATCCATAGAGAGTGAGTCCAGGATTCTTCTCTTAACCTGAGAAAATATTTCTGAACGTTAGCGGGGGTGGGGAAGAGAGGGACACTTCCTAACAGGAGAACTAAATTTAAAGTAGTGAGCTTGTTTAGAGAAATAAAAATATTTGGTTTTCCTAAGATGCTTATTTGAATTTTAATATTTGCATATTGATAACTTTGGTTATTTGAGAAGTGTGCCTCGTTCGAGGTGAGCTGGTTGTGGCAGACTGATAGTGGATGGGGAAAAATTAAAGCGGACACATAAGTTTTGCAACGATTGCATAATAATGGGCGGTCATAATAATGACTATGTCAATCGCATGTTGTAATTTTGCTTGTCATTTAAGAGTGCTTAACCACCTCTGTTTTAAAGAGTTTCTAATGTGGTTAAAATACAATTTTGATACTTGAAGGGTCAAAAGATTTAGAGAGAGGAACTCTTGTATGTTTGAGAAAAAGAAGCTTCAAACCGGTTTGGCTCAGTGGATGGAGCATTGGCCTGCAGACTGAAGGGTCCCAGGTTCGATTCCGGTCAAGGGCATGTACCTTGGTTGCTGGGCACATCCCCAGTAGGAGGTGTGCAGGAGGCAGCTGATCCATGTTTCTAACTCTCCATCCCTCTCCCTTCCTCTCTGTAAAAAGTCAATAAAATTAAAAAAAAAAAAGAAGCTTCATTGATGACTCTATACTTTCTCTCTCTCTCTCTCTCTCTCTCTCTCTATTTTTGTAAGAGAGCATTTATTTGGTAAATTACAGAGGTAGAAGAAGTACTTCCTAGAAGAAATGGGTTTAGGAAATGAGTTATGGGGGTAAAGGAAGGGCCCAAAAGAGTGAGCCTGCAACCAAGGTACATGTGCCCTTCATAGAGAGTCCACAAGCTGACTCTAAACCACTGAGCCAAACCAGCTATACTTTTTAACACATCTTTATTTAGTATCCCTAAGTGTTTCTCTGACTGAAGCTATTTGTATTGCAGAATTTTTCCAAAGCTGCATGACACTTGTATTTCCCTTTTTATTAGTTCATATTTAAAAGGAATCATATCAGTAACTTAATTAGCAGATTGGTACTGATTTACTTTAATAAGGTAATGGTACAAATAAAACCAAAAAATGTTATTCGTTTCTGGCTAGATACTGTTGAAGGCTCGAAGACTGAACCTTGGTTCTTTTTATATTTTTTAAATATTATTAGGAAGTGTTAGTTGAAGGCAAGCACCAAGCTGAGAATATCCAGAAGAATTGCAAGAAAATCCATTAAGGTCTCACAGTGTGATTCCTTATTTAGTCCCAGATCTGTCCTAAGTGTAAAGTCCTTCATCACACTTAAAATCATCTGACATGCCAGTGGAATAGTACCCCATGTCTTGGGAAACTGCCTACAAAAGATTTTAGTGCCCATATGACCCCATGTTCTGGGTATTTATATTTAAATAACATTCATGTATATTATTTTATTTGCTAAGCAATCATATATAACCTCCACAACTCACTTTTTGTTTCTGTTAACAGATGCGGCATTCCAAAAGAACTCACTGCCCTCATTGGGATGGTAGAGAGCGCTGGAGCCATGAAAGCTACAGTGGAAGCCACAAACGGAAGAGGAGATCCCACAGTAGTACACAAGAGAACAGACATTGTGAACCACATCACCAGTTTAAAGAATCTGATTGGTAAATTGAACTAGTAGCATTTTAACATAAATAGTTTTAGTGATTTATTATTAACTTATGTAGTTTTCATCTGTCAATTATTTTATAATTCAATCAAATATTCACAAATTATTGAATGCCTTTTATATGCTAGACACTATATGTGCTGAGGCTAAAGCTATGAAAAACAGTTTTCCTACCCTTATATCTGTGTATGTCTCTCTGGGAATGGTGGGAACAGTTCAGTTCAGGCTGCCAGTAATGTAGGGTAAGACACAAAATGTTAATACTGGTAATAGGACACTCAGTGCCTTAAACTTGTATATATGAGGGAGGTATGTATGTTAGGGTGCTCCTTTAATGTTCAATGGATGAGGGACAGGGAGACTATAACTCCAGATGAAAAAAAACAGCATATGCTATTTGGGTATGTTAAAGTACATTGCGGATTTGTCGCTTAGACTATGTTTAACAGGTTGTTTTTGTAGAGAAGGCCAGTAGTGGATATATTTGGGGGTTTTACAAGTGTGGTTATTATAAAAACCATTCCTTTGTACAGGTAGCAGCCAGTAATTTAGTAAAGGGTCTCAATAAAAATTTCTAATAACATGTTTTGTTTTAGTGTATTATTACTGGTGTAAAATTTGGAGATAATAGAAAATTTAAGGAATTTTAAAGTTCTTAAAAGTTTAAAAAAGGCTAGGTGAGTAGAATTTCTATCATCCTGTCTTCCATTAATTTTCTTTTCTCATTTGTTTTGTTGGTCCTATGTTTTCTCCTTGTTTTGTGCAGATGTTCCGTTGGGACTGTTTACCAGATTGCTTTCTAAATTAGCCAGCTGGGGTTACTTTAAAAAACAGTATGTAATTTTTTTCCTTCTCCGTCCTAAAACAGACTTGTTCTGTAGAACAGCGAGCTTGATGGTAGTGCAGGCTGATCATTCACAGTTATACTGTTATTTGGGCGGAAGGGGGTAGCTTCTGATAGGATTTTAATGACCTGAGCTAATTAATGTATAATAGAAAAGTAACTATACCCTATTATTAATGAAATACAAAATACTCTGTAAGGCTTAACATCATAATAATACTAATCACTCAGGTTTACTATACATTGTTTACGTCGTGATTTCAGTGATAAACTTCATGTTCATAATTAACTACGGTAACATGATACTAAATCCAATTAACCACCAGGCCAGTAGCTTCTTCGACTTTGGCATTGGAGAGGTCTGGTGGTGATTGCTCTCCATAATCTAGAATATTTTAATAGTCTTTTTGAAGATTCATGTCTTTAAAAAAGTGTGTTTTATAAAATCTTTTAAAAATGCAGAAAAGTATAAAGAAGGTAACTTGCCATTGTTTGGATATAAATTGTTTCTAATTACTTGTTCTTAAAATACATATTCGAATCATGCCTCTGATTATTTTCTGAAAATAGATTCTAAGGGACATTTTCAAGTTAAAGGGTATAAACTCTTGCTGCATATTAATGTCTTTTTCTTGAAATTTTATACCAACTTATATTCCTTTCCCTCACCACTTTTGGCTATTTTGAAATGCCAAAAATAGAGTTCTGTGTGATTTTTGTTAATTTCTAGTGAATTTGTCCACTGTCATATTTATTGACTACTTGAACATTATTTTTTGTATTCTTAGCATATTTCTCTACTAAAATGTATTTTTCTTAATGATTTATGAAAACTTATTTTATGTCAATTATTTTACCTTTTTTATGTATTGCAAAGTGGCTTTTCTTTCTAATTTGTCTTTTGGCAGTAGCCTGTCAATTGGTATCCCTTTCTACAAATTTAAATCAGTCAATTATGCACAGTGTATTAGGAAGAGTGAAGTGGCTGTTGTAAATACCACCTTTATATATTGTGGTGAAAATCCTTTAATGTCTTTCTAACACAGTATCAATGATTCTCAAACTTTAGTGTGAATAAAATCATCTTGGAGTTATGTTTAAAATGAATATTACAAGATTTAGATTGAGTCTGACCCTGGGGCCCAGTGATCTGCATTTTTAATAATTCCATTATTTTATATTGCTGATAACCAACCACCCTTTGATAAACCCTAAATTTTAAAGTCCTTAGCCTGGCATGCAAGATGTTGGATGGTCTCTTCCCAGTTTATTTAATTCAGGGGTCCTCAAACTTTTTAAACAGGGGGCCAGTTCACTGTCCCTCAGACCGTTGGAGGGCCGGACTATAGTTTAAAAAAAACTAGGAACAAATTCCTATGCACACTGCACATACCTTATTTTGAAGTAAAAACCAAAACGGGAACAAATACAATATTTGTATTTGCATGTGGCCCGCGGGTCGGAGTTTGAGGACCCCTGAATTTTAATTGCCTATGTTTCCCTGTGTGAAAATTGCTCTTGCTTGAATTGTCTTATTTTTTCCGAGTAATGCATAGACAAACCCACCTCTCTAAGCCATTGTGGCTAGAAGTGGTCTATGAATGTATAAAATGGTAATATCCCATTCTTTCCCCTGTCATTTCTACTTTCCACTTTGTCCAGACCCTGACTTCCCTTTAAGATGTAGCTCTTCCTTTATCATGAAGTCTTCCCTGACCATTTTCAGAAGCTTGAGTGCTTTCCCTTCTATGACCCTCAGCACTCATATGCAACCTTTCAGTATTTCCTACATTGTTGTGCTTTATTTTTATGTGAGTAATCTCAAACAGTCCATTTGTTGGCAGGGCTTATGTATATATTATCTTGTACAGGACCTGTGTGCAGTTACAAACAAATGTCAATAGCCTCATTAGTCTTGGCTATTTTGAAGGACTACAGTGGGCATTTAGTGAACATTTTTAGAAATTAAATCTTTTCATCCTGTTCACTCCGCAGAGCCTCTATAATTCTATACACTTTGTTTATATACTCTCTAAGCCTTGGTTGTTACAGATTAAAGAGGTCCTCATCTTTTTAGTTTATCCTCATGGTATTACTTCACCTCATGTTTGTTATTCTATAGATTGTTCATGGATTATGAGCAGCTCTAATTTCATGTATTATTCCAGTTAAAGATTACTGGTGTTTTTTTCTGATAGGAAGATTTTGGGCTTTTATAGGAAGGATGCCTTTAAGAGAATAGTAAATTCTAGTGAGATCTCTCTGTGATAGATCCAAGCCAACGGATTAGACCCCTGACCCAGACCCACAGCCTTACCTTAATATCCTGATTTGTTTTTCCAATGGGGAAAACTTAAGACTAAGGGGAAAGGGGGCTTCTGCATCTCCATAGCCTGTATGTGATGCCAGTTCTGTTGGGTAGCAATTTTAGATATGCCTCTCTTTATTTCTGCCTAAACCAGCCCTCTGAGAAAAGAGTAACAGCATATTCTGGGGAAAGTAGAGGGGTTGGTGAGGGCAACCTAGTCAACATCTGTCACTCCGTTGCTTGTCAGGATTATTTTAGCTGATTTGTCTGACTGGGCAGGTGTCCCCTCTCTCCCTCAGTGCTCCATGTGCATCCTCTTGAAGCTTCGCACTCTGTTGAAGAGGACACTCAACCCAGGTAGAGAGGGGGGCGGGAAACTGGGCCAATTGAATCTATGTCCTTTTCTTTCCATCTTACCAAGGCTACTTAACTGGGATACATTGACTTGCTGAGGTCTATGATCTCTGAAATTCCTTACCAAGTTTTGTTTATTCATTGGTGCATTTCTTGGTGAAATAGGGCCCAGATCTTTCGGATTTTCAAAGGGATCTGTAGATTCAGAAGTTAACCACTGTGGCACTAAATGAAGCTGTTTTCTATATAGAATTCTTGTGTGTTTTACTACAAGCAGACATAATAGGATATTAGAAATGCAAAGGGAGTAGGGTGGTGGGTCTCTTGTAATTCTAGGCAAGCAATTACAAGATCCCTTTCTCATTTGAAGGGGATATACTCTAGATGTCTTTGGCCCATGAAGTAATCTTTAAAAGCTACTTTTGTCTATTTTTTAAAGGAATGACAGGAAGTTAGAAATACAAAAAGGAAAGGACATGGGATAGGTGATGTGTGTGGTAAAATTTGTCCATTTAATCAGTTAGAATGTGTTCTGCAATCCTTGCAAATCATTTTCTTCTAGGGATCTTATCATTTGTAAAATGAAAGGGCTGCAGTACATTTAGGATTCCTTCTAGATCTAAAATACCACCTTTTATGAAAGAATTCTCTGTGTGCCAGAGATATTTAAAAATCACATTAAAAGAGAAAGGAATCTTGTGTTGCCTGCCCCTAATGGTGTGTGGCTGTGTGAAGAAAAAAAGCTTAGTTGCAGATGCATATGTCATAAATCTGATGCGGTATTGTAAATTTTTGGTTTTAACTTTCTCCAGAAGACAAAGAGACATTTATCAAGTAAACACTGAACATAATGGAATGATTTGGCTCAAGCTTTGTTCCTTGATATAAAGTGCTTAACAGTAGTATATATAATAGAGAAATAGGAACCCATTTGCTTATTGGTTAAAGTGAAATTATTTCTTAAGTTTTATAAGTATAAATTCTAATTCATCAATTTGAATTTTTTTCTTTTATTGAGTTAGCTGTTTAAACCAGGAATTCTTGAGAAAATGTTTTGTTTGAACCACATTACTCTAGAATGAAGAGAATAATTTGAAACCTTCTAATGTGTTTGCAGTCATTATTTAGAAGCAAGATCCTTGAATGAGAGAGATTATCGGGACAGGAGATACATTGATGAATACAGAAATGAGTACTGCGAAAGATACGTTCCTAGGCATTATCACAGAGATGTTGAAAGCAGTTACCGAATTCACTGCAGTAAATCTTCAGTCCGGAGCAGGAGAAGCAGTCCTAAAAGGAAGCATAATAGACACTGTTCAAGTCATCAGTCACATTCGGTATGAGTGATTTTGTTTTAATTGGGGTGGATATTTATTTGTGTATAAAGTTCTTAATGAGCCAATAAGTTTAATACTTGAATTATATTGTATATTCTGTTTATATTACTTGAATCCTTAAAGGAAACTTCCAAATGCTCATAACTAATCTGTATTTATTAGTTAGTCCTCATTTGCCCATATTAATCATTTCATTTCCCATAGACCACATCACAAGTTTGATTTTAATACTAAAAATATTGTTTTTATGTTTTATAATATAATTTTATGAAATAATGAACCCCCATCTTTCATTTTGATTTTTTTTTTTTTTACTTTAAAAGAAATCCCTTTTCTGATACTTAGAAGCAAATATGGAAAGTTGCACAGGTGAATGCCTAAATGCCCTGTATATTATCATCCCATAGCACACTGCATTATTGTCTGCAGCTAGTTCCACTGAAGTTCTGAAGATAGGTGCTGAATGGGAAATGTATTTTTAAAAACCTGCCCCTTTTTTTTTAACACTCCGAGTTGTTTGATCAGTAATCTTTGAAATACTGTTTTCCTCTCCAACTTTTCTTCAGTAAAACTAGCTTTGATTAGATTGAACATTGAAATTAACCAGCCATTATTTTTCCCTTTTATTTTAGTTATGTATATTTGAATATATTGCTAAATAATTTCAACTAATCTTGGACATTTTAAAACATTTTTCTGACAAACTAGACATTTCAACTCGCAGCATATGCTATTTTATAGCAAGAGATTAATAGAACATGACATTGCATTCTTTAATTTCAGACTTCAATTAAATCAGTATTTTAAAGAGACAATTGTGTTGTTTTTTTCTATTGCCACTTTAAGTATCTTATCTGAAAATCTGTTCCTTGCCATGTTTTTCTTCTGTAACATAAACTGTGCCCTGTGAATTTCTGGGGACTGAATTTGAAATTGCTCCTGCCAACCGTTTGTGGCCTGGCGTGTATCTGAATGCCTGAATATCTCCCCGCTGAATGAAATGAATTGCGTATTCTGCCCTGAATTCACTCTGATATATTGATTGGCTGGACGATCTTGGTGCTGCCCACTTGCCGTTCCAGAAGAGCCACCGAAGGAAAAGATCCAGGAGTATAGAGGATGATGAGGAGGGTCACCTGATCTGTCAAAGTGGAGACGTTCTAAGAGCAAGATGTATAGAATATTTTTCAACACTTTTTAAACTTTGCAGACAGAATAATCTTTTTAAGAATAGATTGTCAGCGGGGGGCTAAAGAATTCTTCATTGCTTCTTTGTTTTTTGGTGTTTTTTTTTTCTTGGTGGGTTTGTTATTTTGTATTTCTTTTCTATAGTATTTAAATATTTCTACTCTAAAGCTCCAAAATAATCAGTGAAATTTGAGATTAGATCAAGAAAGATAGCTCTATTTAATTGTCTTTGTAGCAGCTGAAAATAAAATAATTTGAGTGCTGAAACCTTAGTTATGCTTTGATAGAGAATCATTTGAAAGTATTCCACGCTTAAGCATTCATTATTTAAATAACTAGATGATTAGTACTCCGGTTCTTATACTAACTCTTTCTTCCCCCTCACTTTAGATGAAATCGTGGACACTTTGGGTGAAGGGGCCTTTGGCAAAGTTGTAGAATGCATTGATCATGGCATGTAAGTTTGGTTTTTTTCATTCTTGCGCATTCTGATACTTTTGGTGAGGAAGGATCCATAATGATGAAGTGATGTTTTAAGTGATAGTCACATGGTTTCTTAATGTATAAATATTCAAAATTTCTTGAACTATGTGCATGATTTACTTACCATGAGTGTGAATTTTGATCAAGAATGCTTACAAATTCTATGAGATGGAGTTTATTGTTATTAAAGTGCATGTTCAGGTGAAGAGAGTTTCCCAGAACTTAGGCCTTTAGTGCTGTGTAAGAAATTCAGAGTGCTTTACTTTACTTTTGAATTGCAGAGATAATAAAGCATGTCTCATCTTGGTTCAAAAACCTTTATTCCCAAAGTTTTCATGTTAGAGTTAACTTCTTAAACTATAAAGACACTAGGGGCCCAGTGCATGAATATTTGCACCTTGAAAGGAACCGTGGGCCGTGAGGCTGCAGTGGGCACAAGAGCCCATCCTCTGCACCCCCATCCGGCTCCTCCCGCTGCAGCCCCAGTCTCCTGTCTACCAGCAGGCCTGCTCCCACCGCCACTGCTCCCACATGCTGACGGCACCAGCCCCACTCACACTGGCTGAAAGCGCAGAACAATTGGGGCCAGCACCAGCATAGGGTGCAAGTGGGCCAGCAGCGAGTGCGAGAGGTGGCTGCCGGCCCCAATTGCCCCTCAGGAGCAGGGGGAGGTAGAGAGGCCCTGAGGGGCGATCAGGGCCTGCAGCTGCCACTCATACCCGATGATGGCACTGAGGGAGCTGGCGCCCGCAGCAGGTGTGAGTGCAGGGTGGGACCGCAGTGCGCGAGAGCAAAGAATTTTCAATAGCCACCAGAGGCTCGCCCCAATGACAGCAACCAGCCGCCCTGCCTTGGTCTGGCGCCCCGGCTCACCTGCTCCACCATCCTGCCGTGGCTGACACCCACCATGTTCCACATGCAACCCCTGGTGGTCAGTGCACATCATAGCGCCTGGTTGACCGGTTGACTGTCTGCCCCCTGGTGGTCAGCGCACATCTTAGCAAGCGGTTGACCAGTTTTGGCATATCATGATTATATTAAAGCCTACGGAATGTGATTTGCCCCTCTCTGCCTCATTTTAACACATTGTGTACCGCATAGCAATCTCTAAGACATACACCAGGGACCGCACGTTTGGGGGCAAGCTGCACGTTATTTAAATCATCAGAATGCACACTGGCTGAAAGCGCAGAACAATTGGGGCCAGCACCAGCATAGGGTGCAAGTGGGCCAGCAGCGAGTGCGAGAGGTGGCTGCCGGCCCCAATTGCCCCTCAGGAGCAGGGGGAGGTAGAGAGGCCCTGAGGGGCGATCAGGGCCTGCAGCTGCCACTCATACCCGATGATGGCACTGAGGGAGCTGGCGCCCGCAGCAGGTGTGAGTGCAGGGTGGGACCGCAGTGCGCGAGAGCAAAGAATTTTCAATAGCCACCAGAGGCTCGCCCCAATGACAGCAACCAGTCGCCCTGCCTTGGTCTGGCGCCCCGGCTCACCTGCTCCACCATCCTGCCGTGGCTGACACCCACCATGTTCCACATGCAACCCCTGGTGGTCAGTGCACATCATAGCGACTGGTTGTTCGGTTGTTCCACCATTTGGTCTATTTGCATATTAGGGTTTGATATAGAGATAGAGATAGATAGATTGATTGTATCTCCCAACCCCTTTGCCCCTTCTCCTAACCCTTCCCCTTCCCCCTGCCCCCCCCAACTATG